GTAGTTCTCGTGGGAAGTTCAGAATACTGATCATCTGACTTTCATATTCAGGCCAAAGAGGGCGAAAAGTTTTCTGGTTCCAGACGGAACCAACCTTGTAACAAAGTCTTTCCGCTGGGCTTCCTTGTAAGTGAGACACACTTAGCATCACAGGAGGCTGCAGGAAGAGACCTAGCGCCAGCGATCCTCATCACACAGTGAGGCCCAGAAGTGGCTACCCCAGCACGTGTCTCCTACTTGCTTTCTCACATGCCACACAAGCTGCTTAGACAAGAGCCTAGGGCACAGGAAAAGGGCAGCCCCAGCTACCACCACTGTCATCATGTGGGCCAGCAGTCCACAGGCGGTACACAACGCCAAGGTCAGGTGCACTCCAAACAGAGAGCAGATACAACAAAATCGACCTTTACCATAGTTATCTTAACCCCACAGGTTTTAGGGCAAAGCACTGTGCAAAAAAAACAGGCCCCATTTCACTTCAAGTCCTCTGGGACCAAGTATTCTGTTGCTCAACAAGTAGCTACTGGCCTGTCAGGAAAAGGTATCTGGCTCACCTTAGTCAGTGTCTACAAATCTTACAGGGCTGAGGACATGACAAATGAGGTTTACTTGACCTGTTGCCTTGAGTCATTAACCAACAATTATGATTGCCTAATGAAAATATGAATCCCAAAAGAAGTTCGTACTTACTCAGACCGCAACATTGTCTAATAATTAGGGAAGTCTAATTAGATACATTCTGATAAAAAGCGAAAGCATCTTTTACTTACAGTTAACTATAAATAGTCAATTACATGCAGCAAACTATGATCCCCTATAACTCCTAAGGCCACATGTTTATTCTTGGTCCATTCCTTTTGGATGGCACGCACTGTGCCCGCGGCAGGCAGTAGAGGAAAGCTTTTGAAAGCCTGTCTTGGGTTAAATTGTGCTATGGTTCTGTCGCTGAATCTTTCTAGCCACCCTTCAAAGAAGAGTATCTGGAGCCTTCAAATGTTCAATAGCCAATGGGAATGAGCCTTTCGCCCTTGGGCTGTGCGGCTCCCAGAGAGGTAGCCACAGGGCACTCAGTGATACAATATGAACTGTTGGCCGCTGTTGCTAGCTCATGTTGAGGCTGTGTAATGACGAGGCCAGGAACCAGGGTTAAACGGTAAACCCCACATTGTGCCTCCCAAAATACACAATAGAGGGACCAAAAGGACAAGGGGAGCTGTGCCCATGACAGAATCACAGAAACAGGCATAGTGCAGGGCTGGATATGATACACCCACGGGGAGAAGAAAGCAGTCCACCAAGGCTTCAACGTGAGGAGGTGCAGTAGAGACGGACTCTGTAAAGGTCACCCAGTGACCCAATCCAATTGACATTGTTCAATCATTAAAACCTGAGGTGCTCACAGGCTTTCCTTTGACCCCCTGGCCATTAGTGTTCTCTGGGCATGGTCTGACTTTGGTCTCCATGATGATAGTCCCTTATTGTTCTAGGCTTTCCCTTCCTCCACCATTGCCTCTCCTCTTCTGCCTACACACTGCAGACAGAACAGCAGTTTGTCCCCTCCCCAGGGACCACGGACTCTCCCACTTTATTCCCAAATGACATGACTGCAAATCTGTCACTAGTCCCTACTTGGGTATGCCCCCTGGACAGCGAAAAGCTCCTTCAAGCTTTAAATGCACAAAACTAAATTCATTTTCCTGTAGGGGGCGGGAAAAGACAATCACAGATCCTTAGAGAGTCAACTGGGGGGCTCCGCTGACACACCACACAGCGATAAACTAACCCCCTAGCAACTATGACAAGCTGACAAGTTATTCTTTGACACGGTTGGAATGTGACCATCCAAGAGGTCTGCAGAGCTAGGAGGAAAGAAGTCGGCTGCCAGCCTGGGCTCTGCTGCTTCGTGCCATCAGAGGGCACAACAAAGGAGGGCACAGGGTCTCCCAAGCTGCCCTCTGACCAGATGTACTCTGACACACTCACACAAAACCATTAAATGAACGAATAGGTTTAAAGTGCTGGCACCATAGGCGGCTTCGAGATGGCATTCTAAAGCATCCAGTGGGGAGGGGGAGCTATTTGAAAAAAAAAAAAGATACCTTGTTAGGCATGGTGGCACACACCTTTAATTCCTGCATGCAGGAGACAGAGGTAGGTGGAACCCCATGAGTTCAAAGACAGCCAGGGCTACATAGAGAGATCCTGTCTCAAAAAGGGGGAAAAAAAAACCCTCTTTGGTCCCTTGAATATTAAACTTTATTTATTCCTTGTCTTATTTGGAGAGTTTCTGAGGCAATCATACATCACAGGGCAGCCCCACCATCACCAGCCCACCACCCAGTTAATACTCACCATGTTCGCATCAATGACCTGACCCTGGCCAGAACGCGTGCGTTCCAAGAGAGCGAGCACAATGCCCAGTGCGCACATGAGGCCACCACCACCGAAGTCAGCCAGGAGATTCAACGGTGGGTATGGGTTCTCCCCACTTTGGCCAATCTTTGACAGAACACCTGCACCACGGACAACAAATCGAATGCCCCTTTTAAAAATAAACACACGAGCAATCTTCGAGGGATAACCCATTTTTATAATCATCAACCTAAGTGAAAATGGTACACGGTGCTCTTCAAACTATGAACCCATTTGGCTTAACTTTTCCTCTGCTAAACTGTCCTAGAGTCAGGCGGGGTGGCACAGCCCTGTAACCCCCGCACTCAGGTGACCGAGGCAAGTAGATCTAGATTTTTAGCCTGGGCTATACAGAGAACTCCCCCAGCAAAACACATAAATGAGTAAAAACAAGAAAATCACTCCAACTGACATTTTTAATATCTTATTAAAGTTCTCACTAAGTTTAAAAGAAAAAAATTACTGTCAATTTGTCTCCTGGCTTTAAAGCAGTGCAACATGCTTTCATGTTTTATCAAAAGGAGATGTAAGAAAAATAGAGTCGGGCCATTCTAACACATGTTCTCACAGGCACGGATTCCAGTGGAGTGATGGAGAGACCTGAAAACTGTGGGCTTTTCACAGAAGTCTGAAATGGTGGCTCAAAAGGATTCTTGGTAAGGGAATGTAAGAATCAAGCTGAACCTTCTTTTCCAAAATGTAGAATAACCAACCATCCATCTTATTACCTTGGTCCTCACCCCTAGTAGGGGCCTTTCTGAAAACTGATTTCCCAATCATAGAAAACAGGTATAACTAGTGATTATCACCCATCAAATAAATTGGGGGGAGCACAGGTAGAGCTTTAAAATGACAAAATGACAGTTCTAGGAACTCGAATCAACCTGTTTTCAACAACCGCGTTCTCTTTGCCAGTTCCAACAAGTATTTCTATCTTTACACTTTAAAGTTCTTGCTAATCAGGGCTGGGGGCTAGAGAGATGGCTCCGTCATTCAGAGTGTGTGCTGCTCTAGCAGAAGACCCCAGTTCAGTGCCCAGTGCCCACACAGAAGGGCTCACAACAGAGACCTGTGACCCTAGGTCCAGATGCTCCAGGACCCTCTTCTGGCGTCCAGAGGCATGTACGCTCACACTCATATATCCACATACATACACACAATGAAAAGATAACGAATCGTTTTTAAACCCTTGTCAATCAACGGAACTGCACTTCCTGATGTTGAAGCCAATCCCAAGAGTTTTCAAAAAGCAGTTCCCACATACCTGACAAAGCCAAATAGTTGATGTCATGGCCAGCTGCCTTGGAGAAACTTCCCGACTGGCCGAATCCACTCAGCCTGGCATAGATGAGCTTTGGATTGTCCTTCAGTAGGGTTTCTGGCCCAAGCTGAAGCTTCTCCATGACACCTTTAGAGAAAAGTCATCAATTGTTTGGGGGTTTTTGTTTTTAAAGAGAGCATGAGACAGAGATAATCCCTTCTACCGGGCAAACTAAAAGTGTGCTCATGCAAGTAACACTAACAAGAGTTGCTGTAATTTTGATTAAAGCTTTCATAATTAAGCGTCATTTGGACCACCCTCATCTTCAAATGGGGTACTTAAACGCTATGATATAATCCTAAATGTTACCGTTACTGTCCTCAGATAAGCCTGTGAAGCCTAAAAGTTGTTACATATAAATACACCTGGTGCCCCATCCCCACTCAGTTCATTGTCCATCTTCCACCAGGCAGTGTCAGTAAGAGTGTTTAGCAAGAGTGGCTAAATCAGGGATCGACGGAAACACAGGTGCATGGGATACTCTGGATAATAATACAGGAGGAAAGACCATTATTAAATGGATGGAGAAAGACTTGACTCAGGGTTTGTGACAGTTGCAAATGCCAGTGGACAGCCAGATGGGGGCGTACGTCACCAAGTATGCAAGTTTTACAGCTCGAAAATGGTGTCTGTAGAGCATTCAAACAGTGTCTTTGCAAGGCCCAAAGTAAATGAAGTGATCTTGGAGCCGGAGTTTAGGAATATCATCACTTAGGGAAAGGTTAGCATGAACTGTGGATAGCTTTAGAGTACAAGCATAGCAACATGTCAAAGGGTCAGTGGCAATATTCCAACGAGTTAGAGTCTCAAACGGTTCAAGGCCCCAAAGAATAAGGGCAGATGTAGAAGAGCTTTTAGGGTCCAAAAAAAAAAAAAAAAATAAGCAAATTAAAAGCCTAAGGAACCAGAGAGGCTCAGTAAGGAGCCAGGAGGGAAGGGCGAACTCGCGGCGCGGCTCACCGCAGCGGAAGGGCTCCAGCAGCACGTCCGCGCTTGCGCACATGCGCCGCAACACGGCGGCTCCGCGCGGCTGCTTCAGGTCCAGCACGAGCGAGCGCTTGCCCCGGGCCAGGAGGCTCATGTCCCCCGCGGAGCCCGGCCGGTCGATGCACACCACCTGAGCTCCGAAGTCCGCCAGGATCATCCCGCAGAACGGCCCGGGGGCCAGGCCCGCCAGCTCCAAAACCCTGACGCCACGCAGCACCATGGCCAGTCCCGCGGTGACAGCTGAGCGGCCCGAAGTCCCACCCGCCCTGTAGCATCTCTAACCCCGCGCCCCGCCTCCCTCACGCGCCTGCGCGGGGGGGGGGGCACCCTGGAGGCTGTGCGCTTGCGCACTTCCCGCCTACCCGCGGTAGACCCAGGCTAAAGTTTAGCCTGTTGTTTCAGTTAATGGTTTAATTCGGGTGCCAATGTTAAAGTCCTTGACCTTGAACTCTGGCTTCTGCCGAACCTCTCTGGAATCCCTGCTCCCATCCTCAATAAGTGACTAAAGGTACTTTAAGCCCTTTATTATTTAGAGCAATATAAGGAGGCAAGCACATATCCTTCCATACGCCACAGGGTGTCTCCCTTGCCGTCCTGAAAACTGTTTTCTTCCAATAACAGTTTGAAAACCCCTCCTAGACACCCTAAGATTTAAAGGGAAGGCCTGGGGGTGTAGCTCAGTTGGTAGACTGAGTGCCTAGCATGCATGGAGACCAGCACCGCTTAAAATACCGTGGTGTGGACTCCCTATAACCCCAGCATTTAGGAGTCTGGGATATCAGAAGTATTGTTCAATCGGGGCTGAGTAAGAGAGCCTTAAAAATGGTTTTGGTTTGTCAGCTGTCGGTTTTATGGACAACTACAAGTTCGAGTTAGAAACTCTTTTTTCAACCTTTAAAAAAGTACGGCAAACAATCAAATACTCTACCCACATTTATGGGTCGTATTACCAGTAGTGGTGGAGACTGCGTGTAGGTGGCCAAATGCAGTTTCTAAGAGCTCTAGGAAACTGAATAAAGCGAGAGAGAGACAAATTCTATAAAACTCTGGCACCTATTCTTAACAAGTGAGGCAGATAAGAAAAGCTAAGGCGAAATGCTACATAGTTGAAGCCAAAACTCTTTTAACCAGCTGCTGAGTTTTAAGATTCTTCTGCGCAGGGGGGAATCTGTGCTCTCCCAGAGTGAGCTGCCTCCAGCCTAGGGCAGGCATCCTCTGCATGATCTCCAATGCTCCCCTCTGGTCAGTTGCTGTTTCGTGTGTCTACCTTTGTTCCAGCCTAAAGTTTCCTATTATCGCCGCTTACTTTCTGTGCATTTTGAAAATCTGGAAAGGAAAGAGAAAATTGCAAAGCCTGTGGTATATACGGCTGGCTTCCACACCGAGATATTAGCATTTTATTGGAGTTGCTTCTGTTCTGTTTTTCTGAAAAACCTGGTACAGATGTGACTTGAGCTTACATACAGAATCATAGTCACATGAATTGAAGGTTTTAACCAGTACCGTACTTTACAAATCATTTCAAAATACTGAGTTATCCAGAGGCCCAGACAATGTACAAAGAAATCTCAACCCTCCAGATCTTTCCTCTGGCACAAACTGTCTTCACAAAGTTAATCAGAGGAAACAATAATCTAAAATTTTTGGTATGGTGTCAAACAGCTGTCATCCCAGCACTTGGGAAGTAGAAGCAGAACTATCAGAAATTCAACGTCATCCTTGACTATATATAGCAAGTTCAAAGCCAGCCTGGGCTACATGAGACCCTGTTTCAAATCAACCACAACCCAACAATAAATAGACAAATAAAATATAGATGCAAACAAAAAACCTCCTAAATAAAAAAGATGAAATAATTAAGAAGCATTATTTTATACTTTTTTATTGGTATGGATGTTTTGCCTGCATGTATGTCTGTGCACCGTGGGCAAGCCTGGTACCTGCAGGGCCAGAAGAGGGTGCTGTATCTGAGGATACAACAGTTCCCTGAGAGAACTGGAGTTACTGGTGGCTGTGTGCCACGTAAGCACTAGGTATCAAACCTCTTAAAAAAAAAAACCCTCTAAAAAAATCAGCCAGTGTTCTGAAGTGCTGACCCATCATCTCTGGAATTGTTCTGGAAGTGCTGACCACCCCTAGAATTATATTCACAATTGGGTCTCAATACCAAATGGGAGTTCTCTGTTGGGTCAAGATAGGAAAATATGTAGAAAACTTGCCAAATGATGTGTCTTATTACTGTGTTTGAAAATAAAAGTGTAAGTCTACGGTTGTCGGTTAGTCATAGAGTGTTCGTGCTTAAGGTGATGGGCTTGAAACCTTAAACAACGAAACAATAATAAAGCCACAAATGCGTACAGAAAAGGATCTGGCCCCTTGCGGTCTGTGGCTGTTGGAATCTGCCTCATACCATGTTCCCACTTACTTTTAGCCTACTGTCCTTTGTTGAAAACTCAGAGAAGGCAGACGGAATGGCTGAGTAGCACGTATCTTGCAATGGGTAGATGTTTACCAACTGTAGCCTTGTCCTTTGGGATTTGCATTCTCATCGAAATACACAATTATTTTGGTTTAACTTTATGTTTTTTTTCAGTAATGGGATTGAGCCTAGTGCCTTGTTTATGCTAGGCAAGCACTTTATCTGGGCTCCAGCCCTGTTTATTTTCTAGATTGATTCAGGATCTTGCCAAGTTGCCCAAGCAGTATGGAACTTGTAATCCTCCTGCCTCAGACTCACAAGTAACTGGGATTACATACTTACACAATCCAGTATTGCTTTTTTATTTAGACTTCAACTCTTTCTCATAATGCACTCCCTTATTTTCTTTTACTATTTCAAATAATGCAAATAGCATCGGAGAATGTTCATAATACATAAGCTCAAATCCTAGAAGACTGTGTGTGTGCGCAAGTGCGCATTGAGTGTGAGTATTTATTTCCATATATGCTTATAAAGTTTTTCTTGCAGCAGTTTTACCTAAGAATAGCTCAAAATCTTCTTCCAAAACACTTTCTAGGTTAGTGGGTACTCTTTTTCCTCCAGACACTTAGTAGTATGTATGTTGATGGAATTTTTCTTATAAACACATTCATGAGTGTGTTTTTCCCCATTGTACTTATTCACTTACATTTGTGACTTTAACTTACGCAGTTTGAAGTCGAGCATCAATACTGGCCCCAGCTTTTTCCTCCTTCACACTGCCACAGGCGGATGTTACTGTCATCTTAGCAGCCTCGCTATGTGATTTTGTTCTCTCTTTCCTTTTTAAACACAGAGCTTTCCCCTTTTCACTCAAGGGGAGCGCTTCATGGCTTCTCTGTGGCATGTTCAGCTTGTCAATAGCACAGCTTTGTATTTATTGCCATCGTTGAGCAAAATAGGTGTTTCTTGAGCCCAGGTGCTGAGATGTGAGATGACAACCAAGACAGACACTAAGTGACAAACAGGCTGGCAACATACATAGTGTGGATATGCAGCAGATGTTCCTGTCTTGTGGTGAAGGAGCAGAGAGCATGAACCCCTTTAGTCTACTGGAAATGGCATACAATTCAGATCTTATTAGGAATGTCTAGAGTGTCCTACTTAGAATCTTCAGACCTCAGTTAACCCCATGTATTTGAAACTTGCAGAAGACATCACCTCAGGGAAGTGACTACTGTGTAATTAGGCCATGAGCTGTAGAACCATTATTGATAAGTACTCTGATCTTCCAGTTCTCTCACGAATCACCTTCCTTTTACCCACTGGTACTCTTTTGCAAGCGAGGTGATTTCATCCTCCACAAACAAATCCATGTCCAGCTCTGCTATGATGAAAATTAAGATTAAATTGTGACATGAGCGTAAAAAGATTGTAGGTGTATGATGAAGACCCGTCCACTTGGAGATACTCGGTTCTTAAAAGGGAACTGGTACCCACAGATGTCATAAAAAGATTGTAGGTGTATGATGAAGACCCGTCCACTCAGAGATACTCGGTTCTTAAAAGGGAACTGGTACCCACAGATGTCTTAAAGGGGTAACGATATGGAGTAACTGAAAGTGGAGTCTTGTGGAGACAAGTGACCCTGCGGTTTGCACATCTCTGAGTTGCATGACTGGCAACAATGACAGGAAAATATTATTGCTTTACATTAGCCACATGAGTTACAATCATATCACAATTGTGCTTATTAAGAACAATTACAAAACAAACGTGATCACCAAAAGTGTGTTTATTTCCACATATGCTTATGCAATTTTTCTTGCTACAATTTCATCTAAAACTATGCCAGAATCTTCCTACAAGACAGGAAGTAGTAGGTAGTGGATACTCAATATCTTATGCACTTCTGTGAGATGTTTGTGGTATTTAATCGTAGTAAAGCTTAACCTTATGACCCCATATGCTCTGAGCATAGAACCACACACTAAATCACAAAAACACTCTCTGAGAAGGCAAATAATGGCAAATAGCCTTTCACGTTAAAAGAGTGTTATATGCAGATTCACAAAGAGGTTAAACAAGTTTGTGGGTGAAAAGTATAGGGTCAAAGGTTGGACTGAACCTGGCCACCAATGAATTAGGCAATAGGACAGCCTCACTTGACTTTCATTGTCTCTAGCTGTAGGGTGATAACTTGAAGGAAATCTGTGGTTTAAATGCCTTTGCATAAGTTTAAATTGTTGTAGAAAATAAATTAAGGGTTCATTACTTTAAAGAGAATTGATGATATGGTATTTTTCATATAAGAATCTCATTAGTGCATTTTATATACGATTTAACACCAGGGGTAAACACTTTGAAGTGCTATGCTTCAAGGAAACAAACTTGGGTACTGAAGATGTAGCTCAGTAGAAGAGCACATGCCTAGCATGTGCAAAACAGCAACACACACACGTATGTATGTATATTTATGTATATGTGGTACTATCTGTGAGTGCCAACTTATGGCACATTCTATGAAGGTGTTTTGATGACAAATTTAACCCTTTTCTGATAGATTCTGGGGTGGTGAAAGTTAGTCAAAAAACAATAAGCCCCATCTGTAACATATTACTGTTTTGTGAATGTTAGTCAAGTATGATAATTAAGAAAATATTACCTTTATTGCAAACATTTGAGATGTGTTATTTTGTGTCTCTTAAATGGAATACTCTTATATTTTGCATCCCTTAGTCTGCCTGTATATAATTGTTAATAAGTCCTTCAACATAACATGGCATACATAAAATATAAATATTTTGGGATAGTTCTCAAATTTAAAAACTGTGATAACATCTGCACTATATCAGCTTAATCTTACCTCAGCTGGTTGCACAGAGTCAAGCGAGCTCTACTGTGGTCCAAGTAATGCCATAGCAAAGACGAGATCTGGCAAGCCAGATGTGATAAGCCCAGTTCTGGATTATAAGAAAATTTTATATCTAGAAATCTAAACCATTAGAACTCAATATTAATTTGCATGTTTGTTTATGTTCTTAACAAGGAGCCAATTATTTGTGGGCATTGGAAATCATTTTACTATTTAAAAGTTATCTGAAATAACTAAAGCTTTCTTATAATTTATTGATGAGCGTAAGAACACAAATCCATAAAACCAAATGCTATTTCGCAGTGTAGACTTTGCAAGAATTTCTCTAGGTAGGCTCTGGTAAGATAGGCTCTAATTCTTGCCCTAGCCCTGCTGTAATCAGGCTGTTCTCTTTAATGTGAAGAACAGTGAACTAGAACTTGTTTGGCTCCAAAGCTGATACTACATTTAAACAGAGCACCAAAACTCTTTGTAGATGCTTTCTTTGAGGGGAACACTTATTCCCAACCTGCATCAGGTGACAGTTCCTTCAGACGTGTAGGGAAGAGTGATAAAGATGCTGAGTGTCTCCCAAGGTCGTCTGGGAAGGTTACCTTGTGGTCTATTCTTCTGAGTCTCTGAAGCATCCAGCATTATTGGGATACCAGTAGAACGAGTAGCAATGTGACCAATACAACAGTTAAATATTCCATATAGATCCCCCAATTAAACTCCCTTCACTCATAACACTCCAAGCTCAGCTACAAGTCTCCCCCAAAGTGGAGCTATCCTATCCTTCCTGTCACTTAGTCTCAAAGAGCAGGAAGCCTGCGAAGGTAGAGAAGCGCTGGTGGTCCCCATGGAGGGCACCGTTGCCCATTCTCAGCCAGACTTCATCCCCTTTGGCCAGTTTGAGCACTGCGTGGTTGCTGGATGTGTCTGACTTCCCCTTTGTTTCGTAGCTGGAAAGAAAGAGAGGGACACACTACTTAGTCGTCACCATGCAAACCCAGCCCTCCAGCCCATTCTGTCTCTACCCTTCTCCTGCGCTCTAGGTAGAGTCGTGTGTTAAGTTCTCTAAGTGGCATGCTAAAGGGAATAGCGTAAATCACTTCTAGACCTGTCCAGTAGGGTTACTATATAGAAGAGAGTTCCTTATCCCATTCAGACTAGAAACTTATACCCAGCATTATCTTACCAAACCTCCCTGGACTGTTAGGTGAGAAAAAAGAACAGTTCTACTATCTTTGAATATTTACATATAATCTTTTTTTTTTTTTACAATGATTTATTTTCTTCTTGCCAATCTGGAATTTGGTATTCAAGGAAGATATTTTCAACCACCAAAATGAAAATGCACTCTCTAACAGCCAGGCAGGAGGCAATGTAGAAATAAATTCTACATTTAGAATTTATCTGAAAAGATAAAGGCTGGTGTGTGGTGGTTTGAATGGGAATGTCCCCTATAGGTTTATGTATCTGAATACCTAGTTCCCAGTTGGTGGACTGTCTAGGAAGGATTAGGAGGTGTGGCCTCATTGGAAGAGGTGCGTCATTGGGGGGTTGTCTTTGAGGTTTCTAAAGCTCATGGCGTGCCCAGTCAGTCTTATATTCTCATATTCATATATATTCTCTCTGTGTTTCTCTGTCTCTCTCTCTCTCTCTCTCTTTCCTGCCAAAGTGTGGATCAAGATGTTAGCTCCCAGATGCTGCTCCAGTGGCCATGCCTACTGCCGTTCTCACCATCATGATCTTCAAGAACTCAGCCTCTGAAACTGTAAGCAAACCCCCAGCTAAATGCTTTATTTTATAAGTTGTCTTGGTCCTGGTGTCTCTTCACAGCAGTAGAACAATAACCGAGACACCATGTTGTGCTTGGGAGATATTTGAAAAAAGCAGGGTAACATAGACCTGGTATACAGTCACCACTTAAGATAAAGGATTCCAAAGAGGTAAGTATTCTTTGCAGATTTATGATGTTTCTTTAAAAAGATAAGTTTAGAAAAGAGCAGACATGCTTGAAAGATAAATAGAATCTAGACAATCAAGGCTCTAACAAGGTTGGAAAAAAACAAACAAATAAAAAAAAAGGTGCTTGTATACCTGAAGAGGACAAAGGTGATGTGTTCCCATTAGGAACTTACACTCAGAGTCACATGCTACTTATTTCCTCTTGACAATAATGACTGCATTTAGAAAAGGGCAAAACAATGAAGAGCCATAAGAGTAACCGGCTGTCTAGAAGGTGTATTGGCTATCATTCACTAACACATTCCTGACTGTGAGCAAACAGAGCAAAGGCCTGATATGTTCTATAGAAATCCTTGCCGAAGACCCAGCCTGGGTTAGAAAGACTTGGGATATCTGGCTTATTTCTCAGGTTTCCACTGCCTGGAAGTGGAACATGAAAAAACTCTAAGACAGAACGACTTACCCTTTAGATGTGACCTTGGATAAAAGTAGACAAAGAAGACCGACCCTTCAAAGGATAGAATCAGAAGCCAAAGAGAAAATCAGCTGAGGACTGTCTTAAGAAAAGGATTGTTCATCTCTGAGTTCTGCGTTTGAACTAGTTTAGGCTATCTCCCACGAAGACCAAGACAGAGAAGTGTGTCCTACGGAAGAAGGAAGAGCTGGGTGGATGTTTGGGAATAAGGAGCCTGAAAAGGGCGGGCTTTTACCAGGATTCATTGTCTCCTTGTTATGGATTTGATAGAAAATGTCTTGCACCAGCTCACATGTTTGAACTCTTGGTCCCTAGCCACTAGAATGCTTTTGAAGGTTGTGGAACCCTTGGAAAATGGAGGCTGGCTGGAGAAAGTAGGTTGTAACAATGCTTTCTTGAGTGGGTGTTTTTGTCACTTGGTGTGATTGCTGTGTTCTACAGTCTGGCATCAGTAAGAAAGGGGAAAGATGAGTTAACAGGTAACAGCATTGTTAAGACATCCAGAACACACTGTCTGAGACATCAGAACCCTGAGCTTTCCTTGTTCCTTGTCCACTGAGATGTGAGGAGCCGTGCCACACCAGGCTTCTGGAGAACTCTCCCATGCTGTCTTTGCTGTGATGAGCTGAGTCCTCTCAATAAACCCTCCCTTAAGTTGCTTCTTTCGGTGATGATCACAGAGATGAGAAAAGCAGTGAATGCCCTCCTACACAAGAACTGTACTAGTTCATGCTGTCCTCGGGTTGGTTAGGTAGAGCTGGGATCAGGGGGATTAAATTCTATGAATAGAATGACAAACAAAAGTGTTCACTGTCCTTTCCTCCTCCTGACTCTGGAAAAAACCGTGATCAGTGAGAATTTAGGAGTCAGTTTTATAGATCTCTAAGTTGCTTCATCAGCCAACATCCCTGAAAATAAAAACAAATGCAAAACAGGAAGAACAGCCCCCCACCCACACTGCTTTACAATGCTCTCTTCTTCCCTACCTGCCAGCCTATGTTCCCCTTTCGGGAACCCCTGCCCTGGTTGCTCAAGGTTCCGATATGACAATGTGTGCTGGATGGCTTACAGCTCTGTTACCTGTTTTAACTCTTTCCCTTTCTTACAGATGCCAGACTCTAGAAGAACACAGAAATCACAACAAGTGAGAAAAAAATACAGGGGAAAAAAATAAGAGACCAAAAATGTTTCCCTTAATTACGGGGTGGGGGTTGGAGGGTGCTGGCTGTCTGCATGTCCTAGCAGCAGAGCATGATATGGTGCTGTCTAAAGCATTATTCCCCAAGGAACTCCAGGGCCAAGGTGATAAGTATCAAAGTAATGCACATCATTAGACATAAGGACCTATTCTGCCTTCCTCATCAGCAGTGAAGGCTGTGAAGACCTCTAATAGTGCCCAGCTTCAGGCAAAGCGGGAGTGGGGAAGCAGACGAAACCAAAGAGAAGTGAGGAGCTAAAGAAAGTTAAAGTGGTGATGGTGAGGAGTGCTGCTGGCCATTTGCCCAAGGTCCCTTTACTTGATAAGTTCATTACTGCTCTTCCCAAACAGGAGTGATAGATAACCTGACCAAATAGAAGAGAACACACCTGCTAGAGTAGGCTCTGTGAGTGCCTAAGCGCTTCCCGTGATCAAAGACGGCACGTACCTGTACATGCTGAAGACAGTATTGCCATTGTGCATAAGGTACACGTACACTTCTTCTACGTCCTCATGCTTCATCATGCTGAAGGTGAAGAAATACACACCTGGAAAGGACAAGGGTTCACTCATCTACATCTTCTGTAGAAGATGAGTCAAGCGATTGCACACATGGCTTTGTTTTATCTGTATATTGTGTAGTTTCATGATCTCTTTATATGAATATACTTTTGTTTGCTCCCTAAAAAAGTGCTTAGTTTTTTTTTGGGGGGGGGCGGAATTCGAGACAGGGTTTATATGTGTAACAGTCTTGGTTGTCCAGGAACCCACTTTGTAGACGAGGCTGGCCTCTCTAACGCACTGAGATCCACCTGCCTCTGCCTCCCAAGTGCTGGGATTACAGGCATGTGCCAACACCGCCTTGAACTTTGATTATTTTTAACTCAATGTGCTTCCTGTTTATACTTAGTAATATTACAAAATAATTAATAAAATTAGTCAAATATGAACTTAAAATGTACAACTACATTCCCCAAATATAGCAAAGGCTACATATTAGAATGCAAGTAAATGTTTCATAGTTCTAAAGAAATGGTTTGGGTTATTTCTCACATGACCCATTGTAAATCAGTAACTCTGCCACAACACCTTGTTGCTAAAAGTATATTCTTACTGATTTCCATTTTACAATTTTTGAACTACTAGCTATACAAAAGAAAAGTCCAGAAATATCTATAGAAAAAAAAACTAAAGCAATGGAGCAGTCATATTTCTTTTCAAACACCTATTTCTTTCTTATGAGGATATTAGCTATAAGGATCCGTCTGATGTTGAGCCAACTTACAGAGGAAAATTATGTTTTGTTAAATGTTAGGGATGCGTATTTGATGGCAATCTGTGATGCCCATTCAGATACCAAGAGATTGGTTCGGAGAGGAAAAGTAAGGACAGATGAAAATTAAAGTTCTTCAAGAAACAGTTTGTATATATCTAGTGTTTTACATTTTATAGGATTTCGTTTTATACACACATAACAATTATCAGTGTCTGCAGAAAATAAATTTATAATCAAAATGGCAGGGAAGTACCTTAGCCTTCCTTTAAAAATGTACTGTAAATAAAAATAGATGCAGAAACACTTTAGAAAGAGCAGGCTACAAAACCAGATGGTAAATAATGGAACTCTTAGGATTAGAATTGCAGAAGCAAGCCTGTAGAGTACGCACATGGGACTCTCTCTACCAGAACGTGGTTTGGCATACTTGTGCCCTGGTTTTCAGGTCTTTGAGCAGTAACTGCAAACATCAGTGTTCTCTGGCTTATCAACTTTAAAGGCGGGAAAGATGATCATTAGTGTGAAACCACTGGGAAGGTTAAACAATAAGCAGTAAGTAAACAGATTTAAATTACTATTATCAGAATGGTGTCCAACCAAGGGAGCACAAAAATTTAATTATGGAGTCATTGAACTCAATGGGACCATTGATCCAAGATATCTAGACTCTTATCTGTGGCACTGGTGATGAGTTGCAAAAATTTTTACATGAAACTTAAAGCCCTCAGAGCAAAAAGATCACAAAACTGACATGGAGTGAAGTATGATGGAAAGACTGTCTCTGTAGTTGCATGAGTTAGGCCATTCTTACTTTAACAGGGTGAAATAAACCAAAGCACACATTAAAAGCATATGTGTAAGTTTAACACGGCCAGCACATTCTTAGAATATTTTTCCCTGTATATACCATGGAGAGGAACAAGGAAAGAAAACTGAAAAGCAGAAATTGAAAAACTGTCAGATTTCTGCAAAACTACGACACTGATGGAAATCAATACGATTCAAGTATGTAAAGGTGCTGCCCAACCGCAGCAGGAAGCTGGACAGGGATTCTAGAAGCAGCAGAAAATAGATCTCAGCCCTGCCAGGAAAAAATATTCTCCCTGATGGAGAAAGGCCACTCTCAAGTGTTGAAAGACAGTTCTAGGATCAGGGCAGTTTGCTAGGAAAAAAACACAGACTACAAAAGTGTTTCTTTAGTAGCCGTTACCAGGATTTGCCAGCAATGACAAGATTCCTGAAAATCAGGGAGTTTCAACGCTGCTTCAGAAGTCTTTCTCAGGAAGTATGGAGAGGAACTGTGGCCACACGGGATGAAAACACGGAGGAGCTCTGCTTAAGAATCTTGTGCTGGGGGGCCGGAAAGATGGCTCAGTGGTTAGGAGCATTGCCTGCTCTTCCAAAGGTCCTGAGTTCAATTCCCGGCAACCACATGGTGGCTCACAACCATCTGTAAAGAGGTCTGGTGCCCTCTTCTGGCTGCAGACATGCACACAGACAGAGTATTGTATGTATAATAAATAAATAAATATTTAAAAAAAAAAAAGAATCTTGTGCTGTTGGTATCCCTGGGAGGCCTGCTCTTTCTTCAGGGAAATAGTAGAAGAGCAGTGGGCTGGGGGAGGTGGGGGGAAAATACAGGTGGGATGAATTGTATGAGATCCCTGGCAACAAGGAGAGGCGTGGAAATGCCTCATGATCGAGGTTGCCCGGGTCCATTCCCAGCAATCTTTAACAAACAGCTGGTCAAGGTGAGCCGGTCATTCAGTCATCAGCTGCCTTTTTTAAAAATATATATTTCTTTAGTATACAGTACTTTGTCTTTGTGCATGTCTGCAGGCCAGAATAGGGTACCAGACTTCTTTACAGATGGTTGTGAGCCACCATGTGGTTGCCGGGAATTGAACTCAGGACCTTTGGAAGAGCAGGCAATGCTCTTAACCACTGAGCCTTCTCTCCAGCCCCCATCAGCTGCCTTTTAAAGGCAGAAAAAAAAACAGCAAAAATTATACAATGGATGATTAGTCCCAAAGGACATGTTGTCAAATACCCAATGGACGATATTGCCGAATATGTACACCACTGGTTGTAAATATACCAATAAAGCAAATGGCGCTGTTCTAAAACAGAATTCAAGAAAATAGCCAGACGAGAAGGAACTAAAAACTGAGACACTGGGAAAACCTGGCTGTAGTAATTATTTTCCCAATAGTTGTGACCAAATGCCTGACAAGAAGCAGTTCAATGGAAGAATGGGTAATATTAAGAAATGTTCTTAATATCCTCAACTGTGATCACAAGTGCAAGACTGATTCTTCTGGAATCAAGGTATTCTCTTAACTGTGGGTCTCTGCACAGGTCAAAACCATACTGTATTCTTCCACCATAGTGACGCCAAGTAAATATTCCCATTCTAAAAGGAAGGAATGGGAGAAAAACCAAAACCTACAAGGGCAAACACCAACCCTACAGCTCCCAGTCTGGGATCTGGGGTCTGTGGCAGAATTACTTGACTCTGAAGGGCTTTGTCTGGCCTACCCTTCCAAGTCTTTAATATAATCTCTATATATCTAAAGAACCTGATTAGTCTAATTATAAATGACAAACTTAGATGACTATTAATCTATATAATTCTCAATATCTATCTAACTTAAAGACTACCTGTAGCGTATATAGCTTCTCTCTCAGGGCAGATCCACTCTATGACTGCAGATTGCCTCCCAGGAAAATTCCAACTTTCGTTCAAAGTCGAGCATCTCCAACATTCTAGGGTCCCCGCTGTACCTTGACTTCACCTTCATAGCTTCATGAAGCAGCCTCTCAAGTCCTCTTTGTAGGGGCTCTGACCCTGCACCCATCAGATGGCCCCATAGGCTCTCTGAATCCTTAGTACCAGACTGCAAAAACTCCACAACTCGGTGCATCTTACATCATTAATGTCTCCAAAATCAATACCATGAGAACAATGCTGCCAACTTCTATTGCCAGCTCAAAATGTAGCCTGGCCCACCTTGCATCACAGCTGCAAAAGCCTCTATGTGCCTTTTCCACCTTGGAAAAACACTTCCCTAGGTGGCCTTTAACCCCCTGTATACTCTGCATTCCTGTGAGCGCTCTGGCTTCCAAGTTGCCATCAGAAGCTTCCACTAAGATCGGCTCACAGCATCCTAGGGCTTTTCTAGTCTGAAGTTCCAAACACTTCCACATTCCTCCTGCAAACCAACTCCAAGTATTTGAGAACCACATGGTCAGGCAGACTACAACAATGGCCCCACTGTCCCATACCGGTTTTCTGTATCACTTCTTTCATTGCTCTGACCTCCTGCTTGTAAAGAATCAAGTTAAAGGAGGAGGGTTTACTTTGTCTTGCAGCTTAGGAAAGGACACCGTCCATTACTGCTGGGGAAGCTTGGCATCAGCAGTGTGAGGCAGAGATCCCATTACCACTGAAGTCAGGAAGCATGCATCACAGATAAGTGAAGCCAGACTAAAGGCTCAAGACCTGTCTTCAGTGACCCTCTTCCTTCATCAAGACCCGTCTTCTAAAGGTCCCACCACCTTCCAAAACAGGGTCACCAGTGGGGGCCAAGTGCTCAAACATACAAGCCTACAGTGGATATTTCACATTCAGACCACAACACTATTGAATTCCGAATAAATTCCAAAATCAGTGGCAGTGTTGTGCCCAGTGGATTTCTTCATTTTGGTAATCAGATTTTAGTTCTAGTAAACGCAAACTTCAGAGTGAGCACAAAACTTTGGCAATATTTTTGTAACTCTTCTGTCAGTCTAAATCACTTTAAAGTTAAAAAAAATATTAAAATAATAGAGCTTTTTGTTTAGTTTTTAGTTGGCCAACTGTCCAGACATTTCAAAGATTTTGCTGATGGCATTATAGATAAATGAGTGTTTCCCTATTCTAGTAAGAGGAAGGGATAGCTACAAGCCTTACAACCTTGCAGAGCTGGTCAAACTCATAAAGAAGTCCTTCTGTCTATGTGTTGCTTTTATTAGTTAATAAGGAAGCTGCTTTCAGCCAATGGCTTAACAGAGTAAAGCCAGACTGAAAGAGATATATAGAGAGAGTAGGCAAAGTCAGGGAGAAGTCATGTAGCCACCAGAGAAGAAAAACACAAGCCATAAACTGGAAACTTTGCCAGTAGGCCACGGCCTCGTGGTGATCACAGATTAATGGAGATGGGTTAGTTTAGGATGTAAGAGCCAGTTAGAAATATGCTTAAGTGATTGGCTATGCAGTGTTTTAATTAATACAGTTTTGTGTAATCATTCCGGGTCTGAGCAGCCAGGAACGAGCAAACAGCCTCAGCCTACAAGAGTTTGTTTTTGCTTCCGTGATTCCGTTCCTGGTACTTGAGCCTACAGATATACCTGTATGTGTTCAATTATAAACTGGCATAGGAAAACTACTGACAGAAGGCTTATTTTAATAACAAAATGCGGAAACAGCCCAAAGGGCCAATAAACAAGGAAATCAGTAGGTACATTTTCATGTTATTTATAAAAGAAAGCCATTACAAGGGAATATTTTTAAACATTATGGCAAGTCTTTCTTTAAAAACAAACTATATTTAAAATATAGAGTATGCTAACTTTTATATAAGATTAAATATGTTTTCTTAAACAAACTTCAAAAGTTGGATTATTTACTCAATTTTCAGTATTAAAAATAGAACAGGTATTCCTTGGGGGCAATGATGAAGGAACACAGTTATCACACAGTGAAACTGTGAGAATTGTGTTCCGGGGACTTTGATCATCAGAGATGTCTGTACCACCTCAGGGACATCAGATCACTCTCGATTCTTCCCTCCCTCCATTCCTTCCTTCTTTGTTCTCAGCAATCCTCCTTCCCACCTCCCCTTCCATCTTTCCTTCCTCTCTCTGCCTTTCATCCATTTCCTTTTCCTGCCCGTGTGTCTTCTTCCTCCTTCCTTCTTTTCCTTCCGACCTTTCCTTTCCCTTCCACCTTCCCATCATTTCTTCTTTCTCTCCCTCCTCCCTCTTTCCTTAATGGCTTCATTCATGGATGTGTAAATCTCACCTGATACAGGAGCCCCAAATCTACCAGTCATAACATCAAAGAAGTTTCCGATGTTGGTCTCAACACTGCTGAAGATGATGCCACTGTTCTGATTGCTGAAGTGAGTTGCTAGAGAAGCCATGAAAGCGATCTAAGGAGAAAGCTGGTGGTCAAGGCAAATTTGTCTTAAAGAAAAACATCCCTGTACAGGTAATTTTCTTGCAGTGTTATTTGTAATGGAAAGCATGAATACAATAAGTACCAAACAATAAACAAAGAAGTAAATAAATGATAATAATTTAATGTATTTATTCCATATAGATATAGTCTACATTAACAATTCTGAATGTATTTAAAAAACTACTAGTCCTTAAAAGATACTTTTTTAAATATTAAGATTGTGTTATCAAGTTAAACTGAAAAAATTTGGATAAAGTTCTTGGGCTGTAGTATTAGATGCATATTTGTATATTAAATGATTAGAGAAACTTACAGTTGAACTTCTTACTTTTTTAACCCTAGGGAAATGTCTTTTAATGCATTAATTAAAAAGGCAACACAAGATTATTGTGACTTAATATTAGACTTCATTAAGTGTTCTATTTAAGTGGAGTTGTTCTGTAGTCAAACTGAGAAAAATATCTTCAAGAATATACATAAGTGGATAGCAAGATGATTGAGCAGGTAAAGGTGCTTACTGTTGGGTTCAGAGACCTGAGTTTGATCCCCAGGACCTATACTGTGGGCAAAGAGAACCAACTCCCCAAAAGTTGTCCTGTCCTGTTTATTTTACAATGAAAGGGTGTTGTATGAATTACCTTAACAGGCAAAAGAGAGGTTTGCAGTTATCTAAAACATAGCAAAAGCGGTTAAAGAAAATCAGAAATCTATTTGACTATTGGAAAAGAAAATTTTCTGAGCTTAATTCTGCATAAAATAAATATCAAACAAATTGAGGCCAGAAAATTCAAGAGAACCAGAGAATCGGTTACTGTGAGCAGCCCCACCTGTAATTTAAGACTAATCCCTTATGTTTAGGAAACCTTGAGAGCCTCAGCTTAATTCACGGAAGCTGAGTGGTAAGTTACTCTGAGAAACCTGTTCCATGATCCAACCACGAGATCCTGTGGATTGGGAATAATCTATCTATTTGAGTCCTGTCTTACTTAGGGTTTCTACTGCTATGAAAAGACGCCATGACCATGGGAACTCTTATAAAGGAAAATATTTGATTAGGGCAGCTTATAGTTTCAGAGGTTCAGTCCATTATCATCATGGCAGGGAGCATGGCAGCGTGCTGACAGACATGGTGCTGGCTACATCTTGATCAGAAGGGAACAGGAAGTGGACTATTGCATAGGGCTTGGCTCAGGCATATATGAGTCCACCCCACAGTGACATACTTACTCCCACAAGGCCATACCTACTCCAACAAAGCCACACTTTCTAATAGTGCCACACCCTGTGAGTTTATGGGTGCTAGTTACATTCAAATTATCACAGGTCTGAAGATACATGGATTGAGTCTCAGCTTCAATCTGAACCTCAAATATCCATGTCCCTTAAGTTGAGAATGAGGCACCATTATTGCTCTTTTATGGGTACTGCCATTGTTACTGCTAGTAGTGTTCTAAACTAGAATTTGAATAATTAAAAGAGCATTAGAACAATTTTCTCTATCAAGAAATGATTTCACTTGATAATATTGTTGGAGGAGATTTGAAAGTCAATGACAATCCCTTAAAAATAAGCAGAAATAAGAATAATAAATTCTTTAACATGTAATGGATGTTAATCCCCCTTCTTCATAAGTTTTTGTAATTTTTTAATTTTAAAATTAAAATATGAATTTAAAACCTTCCACTTCCCTTTAAAATTCATGGTGTCTTTTCTATTATTTTGTTATTTTTGTTTGTTTGTTTGCTTTTTGAAACAAGGTTTCTCTATGTAACAGTTCTAGCTGTCCTGGAACTCAGCTTTGTAATGAGTTGGCTTTGAATTGACAGATATTAGCCTAATTCTTCCTACTAAATTCTGGGGTTAGAGATGTACACCACTAAGCCCAACCTGTGTTCTCTTTGTAAGAAATTAGTATTGTTTTATATATATAAATGCACAAAAACATAGATATAACCTGCTGAGTCCATCTAGTGCTGCATATATATGCATATATGTGTGCATATATAAATATAAACACACACATTTTTAGGACTGAACACTTGGTATTGAGTAACCAATTAGGGGACTCATTCCTGAAGAAAACTAAAACCCCATCTCTCAGTGCTTAATTGGCTGTATCTTTTTGTTTAGAAGTGGTGCCTAAGAGATTCCTTCTATCTATGTTAGCATGTCTGTTGGTGCTGTCGTTGTTCAGAGAGCCATGTGGTTGACGATTCATGAATGTATGATTCCTGTTATTGCTAGGAGACAGTCTCACAGCCGACTTCCTGTTCCTCCAGCTCTGACTATGTTGTTCTGCCTCCTCTGCTTTGATGTTCCCTGAGGCTCAGCTGTGGGGCTGGGTTGTAGATGTATCAGCTACAGCTGGCCACTTCACAATCTCTCTGCATTTTGAGCAGTTGTTTCCACAAACTTAAGTCTTCCATGAACGTGTGAAAGCGTCATCCCAAATGAGCATATTTGTAACATTTGGGGAAACAGATGACATTTAGTGGTTGCTCAGATGTCCCCACTAACTACCTGTCCCATGAAAAGACCATCTCTACATTTTTTTTGCTAGTTTTCATACATCTCTAGACCATCATAGAAATTACCTTACCCTAGCTAGATGGCCTTCCAGCCCACTCGTTAATTTATATTGACATACGAATCCCATCATGCTGAAAGTATTAAACAGAATTAAGAAGTTGCCACCAAGCCCCTCAAGAGTCAGTTCTGGTAACACACAGGACATCTTATTTTACACTTGAAAAACAGGAGCCCAAGAGAATGGTGCAGTGTACCCAAGAATAAACAGCGTGACTGCTGCCCAAACAAGCAGCAGTTTCCTCTCATCTCTCAAACAAGAACGGCTTTGTATACCCGTTCTCAGAAAGTCTCTCTTGTTCCAGAATTTTCTCCCAAACACTTAATTCTAACCACAAATTGCTCTTTGAGGAAGACAAATTAGCCAGACACTACCTGAACAACAACAACAACAAACAATCTATTTTTAAATATTAACAAAAACTAACATAGAGTTAATCATTTTTCTGGGTGACCTAACTTTAATATTTACAAATTTTAGATGTTGCAATAAGAATTATAAAGATGAGTTCAAAGAGAACTAAAGAATGCATCCAACTAGAAAGGGGTTATATCCATATAAATAGATTTTAAAGTTTCATGTAGAGATGAACACAGCCTGATCTACCAAATGGAATAACTCAAAAAGTAAAATGTCCCTAGTGAAAAGAAGACTCTGATGTGAAACGTTTATATAAAATTGAACTATAAAATCTAATTTAACAGAAAGAATGTTAATATACAAAGATGAAATTTAACTACATGATGTGGCAAATTAGCAAATAAAATATAACTAGATGCTTAGCCATTCCATTTGTATGTTTAAATGTTTTAGTGCAACTTGGTTATAACCCTCTTATTTAACCCGTTGTCTCATCTGGAAAATAGGATATGAGTTTATATTTATGGCTGTTTGGTCCTATGAGGGAGCTGGATCTCACACTTGATAAATACCCTTTCTTAAAGCCGTGTTTGAGAACAGGCCTGCCATGTAGCTGAGCAAATTGAAACTGAGATTTTCTCAGGATGACTGACGGTTTGTTTACTAGAGCCGTTTGGTCCCTGGTCCCGAATGTGCACGCAGCATTAGAAGTCACCTGGGGCTGTGCGGACGGTGGTTTACCTGTAGTTCTGGTGGCACTCCTGGGTAGCCCTTCTCTCCTTTGGGGCCATGCTGCCCCCGCTCCCCTCGAGGCCCCAGGTCTCCTTTGTCTCCTTTCTCGCCTTTAGCCCCTTCGTGGCCAGTGGCTCCATTATTTCCATTGTTTCCATGGTTTCCTTTAAAAGTCAGAGATCATATGAGAAAACTGATTCACTCCAACCACCATGTGCTTTTAGACAAACACAATTCCTTCCTTCAGAACTAGTCAAACTCATTTGTAAAAGGAGACCATTAAAGAACCCTGACCAAAGCCCTTTAAAGGGCATCAGACGAGTGCTCTTGTACTGGGCTCTGGGATACGATTAGAGACCAAGACCACAAAGCATGCTTTTCTACAAGCAAGGATTGAGTGGAAGACTGTGTAAAGACCATCACATTGCCATTGGAAACAGTGAAGATTAACAAACACAATACCCACCAGTGCTAGAATGGCTCAATTTTAGTAATGGGTGCATTTTATTAATTACATATTTATAAAAATATTTTAAATGATCAATATTACAATAAACATAAGTGATATTTTAGTTATGGTTGTAACAAGTAGGGATGGTGTGGTACTATTTCAGTTTGAATCATTGTATATTTATATATTATATGCATAGATGAAAAACTAATTCTAGTTATTATCCACAATTATTTTAGTTTTTCATGAATAGATGAAGCAAGGGTGATTTTTGTGTTGTTCAATATGTTTTTCCATCTCCTTCAAGTCTTATACAAAAGCAGTTTTATAATTGGGAAGAAAAACTCATATAATAGCATAATAATTTTTCAAATCAAGAGTCAGGTAGTATATTCAAAGGTTCACTCTGCTGCTCAGACCAGTTCTGCACCTATTTCTTATTTTCATATTTGCTAACCTTCCGTCTCTTTTGTGTTATACTTTGTGTGTTATCTTTGACAGGGCAGTAAATCAGGCTTGAAATGTTCACAGATTAATAAACTTTGTTGGATCAAAGTGTTCTGTCTCAAAGGTCTTTCTCATGGGAAACCTTTCACCAAAGCCAACTTGCCCTGTCACCTGAGAGGAGGTCAAAGAGCCTTGCTTCACATCACTGACCCTGTGAACGAATGGCTTTGGCGGACAAAGACATAGGCTTAAGTATAGGACAGGGTACGAGGGTGGGGGGGACTTGTTAGGTTTTTTTTTTTTTTTCATTATAAGTTTGGTTTCACAGGAGAGGTACAAGGAGTTAATCCAGTTTTGATAAGTATAAACATCAGTGGGGGAAAGTCAGGGAACACAAGTAGATTTCTTGTAGAAGGAACTCGTCTGGGGTGGGGCAAGGATAAAGGTCTTTGCTTTGCCCACTCTGTTCACGGTAGTAACGCTCTAACAGAGTGACCCAAGCTTAATCAGCAGGAACAATACAACACAGGTTAACCATGGATCTAGAGCAGTGGCTCTCAACTTGTGGGCCGTGAGCCCTCTGTGCCTTGAACTGTCCTTCCACAGGGGTCGCCTAAGACACCAACTATTTGCATTACAATTCATAACAGTAGCAAGATTAGTTATGCCGTAGCAATGAAAATAGTTTGATGGCTGGACTCTTTAAAGCATGAGGAACTGTATTAAAGGGTCACAGTATTAAGAAGGCTGAGAGCCACTGTTCTAAGGGGGCTGATGAGCTCAAGAGCATTTCCTTGGCTGTTGCTGCTACTAGAGCCCAAAACACACTCATGAGTCCAAGTGAGGCATGGAAATCAACTAGAAACAAGGATCTGAAATTTAAAAAAAAAACCAAAAACAAAAACTAAACTGACACAGAAAGTCACACCCCTCAGAGAATGGTAGAGCAAAATCCAGCAAGCTTTCCTTTTTACCCTTTCTACCCGCCTCCATTTGATATGTTTTAAGAAAGTTATGGCGTGTTGTGTAAAGTACACTGTGGCAGAAATACTGACCACTGGGGTTTAGATAAATGCCTCCCCAAAGCCCATGTGTTTGAGGCTTGTTCCCCAGTGTGGTGCTGTCGGAAAGTGGTGCAAACCCCAAGGGGTGTGGTCTAGGTGGAGGTTAGAGGTCACTGAGGATGTGTGGCTTGAAGGAGGTTATAGGGGCACAGTCCTTTGTGCTCCCTCACTCATGACATGAGTGCCTTTGCTCCCCCACAGCTCCCACTAACTACAAAGTAGTCTCAGCCAGCCGTGGGAGAAGCCTCCAGAATCATGAGCAAAATAAACTCCTTCTCTATGTAAGTTGATTAGCTCAAGAATTGGCAACAGTAATGGAAGGTAACTGGTACTTAGGTGCTAAGGTGGGAGTCAGTGCTAAGGTGGGTCCCGTTGCTAAGGTGGGTGTTGGTGCTAAGGTGAGTCTCTGTTCTCAGTAAGTGGCTCTGTCTACGGGCTGGTGATGAACCTTCTCTCTTTTGAGTCTCAGCTTGGATGACTGAAGCCTCTTGGATTCTCGAAGTAGTGTGAAGAATAAACACCACAGGGCAGTGTTCCACTTGAACTGACCTAATGAACCCAGCTCCTTGCCAGTTCTTTATCTTTGCCATTCTCAGTACACAGTATGTCAACCCAAAGGGTTTGCGTTTACCCTTGGCTTCTGTTTCTAACACTGTTACTGAAATTGCTGTGCAAACTGTAGGTCCTTACCTGGAATGCCAGGAGGGCCTGGAGGCCCAGGGGGACCTTGGTAACCACGGAATCCATAATCTCCATGACAACACTTGCTGCAGTCTGGGGGCAGTCCTCCGGTTTGTGGAGACTTGAAAACAATGGGAAAAGAAACTTCAGGTAAAGATATTTGCAAGCACTTAAGAACTTTTTAACTTCCTCTGGCCTTCACCCTTAGATAAGTTTCACTTCGCTCAACTCAGGGTCACATCAGAATAGATGGTGTGGGACACGGGGGAATATCTATGACCTGGGGGCTAGGGAGTGGGTAAGGTGAGTGGGTGACCAGAGGTTAAGGCTACAGGGATTCCACGGAGATATGCCGTGGGATGGCGTGAGGGCAGGACGGTGCAGAGGACAGGGGTGGTCTTGGACAAGCCCATGACAGCAAAGGCAGTATCTTGTTCCCAAGAGGAAGAGGACATGAAAGCCCCTTCTCCCTCGATACCCAGAAGTCTCAGGGACAATTAGACTATGGTAAGCCTCAAAGCAAGCGAGCAACAACTTCCAAGGTAGCTACTAAACACCACACTCCTAACGTTGGCTTAGAGGTCTTAGGACCTTTGCAACTCCACCTTCCCAAACCTCTAAAGCACACAAACTCCTGAGGAAACAAAATATTCCTTAGTCTGTACATTAGCTTATTTATTTTTAGATTGAAAAGTAGAAATATAGTTATCATATACAACAGCTGTTCTGAGACACGCATATACATCCTTGCTGAGTGACCAGTTCATATGCATTACCTCGTTGGCTTTCCTCTGATGGGTCCATTCGAACCCTTCTTCTTGGCAGTTTTCAGGAGTTCAATACACTGCTGCTAACTGCGCTCATCCAACTGATTCTTACTATATACACGTGGGGCAACTCTAACCTCATTATAAGTATTTAACATTTTTTACATTCCTCTTCTAAATTTAAAGTGATTATCTCACTATGCAAACTAATATTAAATAAGCGCAAATGGACACTATATGCTCAACTGTGACTCCCATACAAGAAGAATATAAAAATATAGGAATAAAAAAATTCTTAGTTATACAGAGATAAAATTCTAAAGTGTACTCTTGCTGTGAAGGAACCAAGGACCCAGTGGACTGACTGGCGGGAGAGTCAGAACGTGTAAAATCTGGATTCTCGTCTGCACTGGCAACCTGCCTTTTAATTTTGTCATGCAAAATACTTGTGGAAACTTTCCTAGATACCAGTTACAATCCAGCAGTTTTGAAAACAGCACGTGGTTGCTAAGGGATTCATTGTGAAAAGAAAAGGATCCAAAATGGAATGGACAGAGCAGAGGACAAAGATGGGGCACGAGGCAGGGAAAGAAGAGGAGGGAGGAATTCACCGTTCTGGTTTTCTCTGCCACTAGATGTCCTCCAAGGAGAAAACTGGGTGAAGAAGGCCTCACATCACCACACAGCTACACCTTCCTTTGATTGGTTGGTCTTAGAGACTTGGTCATTGTCCTCCCTTTCCCTGAAGTTTTCCATTAAACCATTAAGGGAGTAGCCCGCCCTGGACCAAGTGTTGAGGAATCAAAAGTTAAATGCTGGAGATAACTCTTAGTCTTAAGTCTGCCAAGCCTAACCGCAGACAAGTATAAATTCATATTGGCTAAGGAAAAAAAAATCAACTAATATACTTGGTTAGAGATGAAGACACTTGATATCAAACTCCACAGGCAACCCCACCTACCCCACATCTGAGAAGTGTGTTCGTCATCTCCTGGGATGCTTTGCTAATGTGAAATGCAGCTTCTAAACCCCAGGACCCAGAGTTTGGCCAATGATGGGTTTCATGGATAGAGTGGTGTGTGTATGAGGGAGGAGGCGCTGTAAGAACAGAATGGAAACTCTGAGATGCTTAGGACTGTTAGAATAATCACTGCACTGGGACCAGGGTCCCTGCTCAGTTCTTTGTGGCCTTCGAAAGTCACCATTCCCAGACATCAATCTGAGTTGGCCCTGAATTTCCTTTCTAGTGCTAAGATGCAAGCAAGGATGCTATTGTGTTTAACTTTCGATAATAATATCGAAAGACCTTTAATATTTTTATTCTTTTTAACAATTTTATCACATGTATTTCTTCTTTCTTATATGCATAGGACACGTGATGTGACACACACGTGGCAGTCAGAGGACAAACGTGTGGATCCTGGGGGATCAAGTTTAGGTCGTCAGGCTTGCCAACAAGCACCTCTGCCTGCAGGGTCAGCTCACACACAAGAGAGTCCTGACACTCCCATTTGTAAATGTCTAGTATCTGAATACAGGGAGGTGGTGTTTCTTAGTATCCCAGCTAACGAGGATGAGTGGTGCGCATGTAAGCTATCTGGAGTAACGCCAGGAGCACAGAGCTGCCACCAGTGCAACAGGAAGACTCCCGGTTCTTCTAGTTGGATGCCTCCCAGGAACCCTTCTACGATGTTTCGTGACGTGTTCTTTCGTCTGGCCTTGTTTTTCAAGGTCTAGTTCAGAGGAACAATGATAGTGCAGCAAGGAGGGGGAAAGAAAAAGGGGAGACACAGAGAGAGAGAGAGAGAGTATGCTGTACATATTTGTTAGTGTAGGTGTGTGCTCACGGGTGTGCATGGTGGGGACCAGAGATGAGTGTGAGTATTCTTCTTCCACCATCATTTACAAAAACACAATTACTGAACCTGAAGCTTGTAGGTTAGCTAGGCAGGCTGGTCAGTGAACTTCAGGGATCTGCCAGTCTCAGCAAACCCCCTCCCACCCCAGCACTGGGTTGCAGATGTGCAGGCACACCTGTCTCTTTATATGAGTGCTGGAAATCCATCGGCAGGGCCAGTGCTTACATAGCAGCCCGACCGAGCCATCTTCCCAGCCCTCTCGTGAGGCTTTCGCTGGACTCCGAAGTCGGACAGGATGTGATCTAAACATTTTATTCTCACTAAGGAGGAATTTGTATATGGGAAGTCACTATCCACAGCCTCTTCAGTTTGTCATCCTCCTTCCCAAATCGGATAGTAATACACTGGGAGCGTGCAGTTGAGCAGCTGACAGGACAGGGGCGTCGTCTGTAAGACAAGCTCCACCCACTTCGCAGAACTGAGTTCTACTCTCAATGACTATAGAAAATGAATACACAATTTTTTTTCTCAGAGAAACAAGATGGTAGGGAGGGAAGGGGAGAGAAAATGAGTGAGTGGATGCATGAATGAATGAATGAATGAACAAATAAATACTGATAAAATTTTGTTCCTAACAGAGTACTTCAGAGTGGTTGGTGATGGGGGCTTGGGTGTGTTTATGGTCTCAGTTTCCATCCTATAGCATGGAAGAAGTCAAAGCTGGGAAATGCTGGGGAGGAATTGATGGGGGAAAGAATAGCGTAAAGAAGAGGATGGGGGAAGTGGGGAGCGAGGAAAGAGTGTCGCATGATCCTAAATTTGGTGTTCACTTGTAGAGAAATGGCACCAAAAACTTCCGGGATGTTCCTGGCTCTGAATCTTCTAGGCAGCTCCACAGGGTCTTTATCTGAGGATGCTTCAGAAGTCTAGGGCTAAAAAACTAGAATGTGGAGTGGAGCGAAACTATAGTTGGTGTTGGTTACCAGGAAATAACCAAAGACAACATATAACACCCCTTTGGACACCTAGGAAAGACACGATCCATCAAGATGAAAAGCCAGATAGGGGACTGAACACAAATTAAATGAAGATGAAAAAGTTAGATGAAGATCACTGAAGCAAAGTCTTTAAATAGAAGTCTCTGAAAGAGTTATTCTGTTCATACACACACACACACACACACACACACACACACACTTGACAAAACCCCACAGGGCGACTACGAAACTGCACCGTGTGGTCCAGTTACATGTCTCAGGCTTATTCCAGTCCTGCTGCTGAGTCTGTGTGGGATCCTAGGCTGCCCACAGAATCGGATAATCAACCAAGACTTCTCAGTCTGGGCTGGGGGTTAGATTGCAGCCATGTGAAAAGAAGTTCCAGGGTCTCTACAAAGTCCATGGTTCCTGTGCTCCTATGTCCTGCTTCAAAGATCGTGTAGCCCAAGTGCCCTTCTCTCCACTCCATCTAACTTTAGCATTTTGTGTGTTAGATTCTAAGTACAAATAAGTTTCTTCCCGTTTTTGCTGCTTTTGATTAAATTGAAGTTTGCAATTTACTACATCAGAAACCTTTACTCATTCCTATGTTACCTAAAAGACTTAAAGAAATGTCCTCAGATGCTGGGTTTTTATCCCAAGAAATCAATCAAGTTCTCTCATTAGGAGACTGAGTAATTCAATACCTTGTAATTTAAACATGTAATCTTTTTTGTTATTTATTTCTTTTTCTTTTAATGAGCTAATCTGGTTTTTAAAAAAAAACGTTTAAACGAGAAGGCTTAGCAACCTAGACGGCTACAAAACAAATAAACAAAACTAGAAGGGAAACATTACAGAAAATCCCCAAATCAAAGTAAAGCAATCTAAACTGGCTTTTGGCAGAGGCAAAGGGCAGCTTCTCCCTGGTGGGGAGGATTAAAAAGAACCCACTGCTTTGGGGATCAGCAAAATAATTATCCACAGCAATGCATCTGTCCACATGGGTCAGCCCTTCTTTCTGCATCAACAGAGCAATAAAATAACAATAACAATAAGGTCCCAACACAAAAGTAGGCTGACTCCTCCTGGTCCCTGTTCTCACGCAGCACATCATGCTAGCAACTAGGAGTCCCTGTTAGATCCCAGATACCCACAAGCAGCTCGGCAAACTGCTCACAAGCGCAGATTTTTAAGAATCATAGTTTAAACAACAGCAACAATAGTCATTTACGTCTGCAAAAAGTCATTACGTCTAAAATCTTAGAAGAGAATTCCGAGTACCTGGCCCCAGAATGGGTTGATCTGGGCTAGGTCCTCTACCTCAGGGTGCGGAAGCTCATCTGGTCTCAGGGGTTTTAGGTCTGTAGAAGTGTTATTATCCACAGTCCCAGTTTTAGGGTGGCTCCGCTCTCTCACTTTCTCCCTCCTGGAGCCGCTACGGCCAGTCTGCTGGTGGCTCTGCACTATCCTGGCCACCGCCTTATTAGCTCTTCTGCTCACCTCCATGTATTCATCTTGACACAGGCAAAATGGGAGGGAAAGCAAAGCCAGCAGGTGCCACCAGACCATCTGCCTCCCGAGCATGGCTCACAACAGAGCCACGGAGTCTTCCTGGGCAGCTGGTGGGGGCTGTAGGTGCCGTGGTCGCTTCAGGCAAATGCCAGGTCTGGAGATGAGAGCTGCAGCCGGCTGGGTGGTTTTATACTTTCGGTGTGTAATAAATAAGCCTGCAGTCATGCCAGAGTGACGGCGGCCCTCCCCCCCAGACAGAACAGCCCCCATTCATCACATTCCTGCACCACAGGCAGGACAGTGTGTGCGCGCGGCGTCCAGTTGGTGGGGTTCATAAATGTCACACCTTGGCATGTTGTTTTGTGTAAGAGCTAAGAATATGTACACAACCAGCTGGAAACAGAGAATGTGTATCCAGTGGTTCGCTTTCGTGATTAGACACGGAAAGGCTGAGCCTTTGTGGTCTAAAACAACTTTTGGAAAAACCTCCCCCTGAGCTTGCCAGGGAATCCAGCTCAACTGTATCAGTTCCTGCAATTACAGCAGGAACCGGTTCAGGTCAACAGAGAGAGGTCTTGCTCTGAGCAGTACGGTTTGCTCGTTCCCACTTTGGGCCACTGCAAACCGTGAGTCCTCCCTCCCAGATACTAGCAGTAGCCAGCAGTCTGTGGACTAGGAAAGACTGATCAGAATCCAGGGGCAAAGGCTGAGTTTGGCTGAGATGTTTTCCCCATGCTAAACATTATTTTCTTCTCCTTTGCGTCTCTAAAAGCCAACCTGAAGCAGCAGATGGTCTAAGTTCTTGCTAGGTGAAAACACAACCTACTTCCTTGTTAAAGACATCCTTCTCTGGCTTCTCTGAATCTATGGAATACTGATGTGCAGTACCAAGAAAGGTGGAAAGCACCCAACTAAACATATGATTCTAAGGGCTCAAAATCGAGAGAACTACCACCTCTTAAAGCTCCTGTGCTTGTATTGATTAAACCAAAGAACAAATGGGCACGCCCAACCTCTTTAGTGATAATAAGTTTAGAGAGCTGATAGTGTTGCCTTTAAAAATTGATTCTTCTTTTATTTTTGTTTTCTGTTTTGTTGAGACAGCATTTCTCTGTGTAGTCCTGACTGTGCTGGAACTTGCTCTGTAGAACAGGCTGGCCTTGAACTCACAGAGGTCTGTTTGCCTCTGCCTCCTAGTGCTGGGATGGAAGGCGGGTACCACCACCGCCTGGCTAAAAAGTGCTTTTATTTACAGATCATTCCATCTATTACTCACTGATCAGAAGGTTGTTGGCTCACCCCCTTGGGGCTTGCTGCCGTCCTGAACTCTTAAAGGGCTCTTAAATGGGCTAGTGTCTGGTCTGGGTCCTCGAGGGCCGTTATAGAAGACAGCCAAGACAGTTCCCTATAGAGAAACCAGGGTTACTAACTGAGCAGCCAGAGAAAGCGAGGAAGGAGCTGCCACAGCAGCCCTGTTTCAGCAAAGGGACTTGAGAAATAAATGCTGCCTCTGAACTGACAAACTGGCAAATGCTACCGTGGTCAATCTTGCCACTCACTCCTGGCCAACTATCTCCCAGAACCCACATGGATCCAAAGAAAGTGCTGGGAGCCAGTGATAGAGTTTTCCCATAAAAATCAAACTCCCTAAATCACAACAGGGGGGGGGGGTTCTCATCTTCTGGGCAGAGATACCCTAGTTCCCTAGTGTGCTAGCTGCATCTCAGATGTCTTCTGTCTTCTTTGAGCACACACAAGCATGGTGCAAATGTAAACAACACATCGGACTACAGTCCAGCTTGGATTCTCTCAGGGAACCCCCTTCCCAGGCCTGGATGCAATCCGGCAGGATCACAGCCTGTGTGAGCACACATCAGTGGTGAGGACTCAACTGTGGGTGAGAAGGACACTGTCTCAGTGGGGTGCTCCAACCTCAGAGAGGCCTGGAAAACAATGGCTGTGAAAATTAGGTCACCTGATTCCCTGGCACCCCAGAAGCTGCCCAGGCTGTCTCTGTTAGGCATGTGCCCTCCTCTCTATCACAACAAATGGTCTTCTCTTGCTTTCTCGGCACAGCAAACCCCTCATTAGGGTTTCATTCCTGCCGTCCAACCTGGTGGTTCTCAATCCTAGCTGCACATTAACATAAACCCAGGGACTTCTAAAAATACCAGCGCCTAGGTCCTGCTTCAGACCTTCCCGTCAGAATCTCTGAAACACCAGACGCTTGCAGCCGTTTTCCCCCCAGGATGAGTGAGGGCTAGGAGTCATTGATCCATGTTATCCTGGACTTAAGGAGACTAGGTAACAATATCGTGATTTGTTGATACCATATGCCAGCCAAATGCTTCTTTAGATTAGCTCACTGACTTCTCTCAGCAAACGTCTCCACTTTGCAGAGCAAACCTTGGATGCTCACAGAGGTAAAGTGGCTTGTTTGCTTTCACACAGTGGGAGAGGGGTGATTGGGAAGACACCCCATCAGTCTCCCATTCTGTACTCTCTGCTTCCACAGCAGAGCAGGGAGGTGGGCATAGACTACCCTACCCTGTACCTTCCAGGGAGCCACTCGTCAGAGGCCCCACAGTGTCAGAGGTCAATTGTATATATCCCAAAGATAAAAGGGTGCTGTAAAATCCCCTATACTTTGAGTATGAATTTATTTTCATAGATGATCTCAATAAGATCATTGGAGTTGGGCCTTAATCAAATATGATGATGTTCAAATTAGAAAGAAGACATGCACATAGGCAGAGCGCCATGTGGAAGTGAAGGTGGGATCAGGGCAATGCTTTCTTTAAAAGTCAAATGGCACCCGTGATTGCCAGCACCCAGAGTGGAGAAAGAGGCACAAGACAGACCCTCCATCCCTCCAGAGCCCTCAGCAGAAGCAACTTCACTGACACCTTGATCCCTGACTCCTAATTTCAGAATGTGGCATGATAATTCTTTCTCTGTGGCAATCTTCAAGTGAATAAAGATGGCACTGTGGAAAGTTAAGGAAAAAATAAGGCTCCAGACAGAACAACAGGTCTCTGATGTGTAGCATAGCAGGCTAGCTATGGCTGACAAAATTAATAGTCTGTTCTAGAATAGCTAGTAGAAAATATTCTAATGTTTCTAGCATAAAGTAACTATAAATTTTTGAGGTGATATGTCTATATCCAGACTGGGTATTTATACATAGTGTGCATGTATTACATTTTATTATTCATTTCTAACTATAAACAATTACTATGTGTCAATTAGCAATTATTTTAAAAACCTGCAGACTCCTGAGAAGATGCTGTATCTAACTCCAGGCCCTGAATGACCTTGGGCTTCACTGGACACTGTGGCACACTCCTTTAATCCCAGCATTCAGAAGGAGAGGCAGGCGGATCTCTGTGAGTTCGAGGTTAGTGTGGTCTACAGAGTGAATTCTAGGATAACCAGGACTATTTACTAAGATCCTATCTAACAAAAAGAAAGAAAGAAAGAAAGAAAGAAAGAAAGAAAGAAAGAAAGAAAGAAAGAAAGAAAGAAAAGAAGATAGGAAGGGAGGGAGGAAGGTAAGAGGAGAGAGAGAGACAAGAAGAAGAAGGAGGAGAAGGAGGGAAGGAAGGAAGGACAGAGATGTGGATGTATGCCCCCATACCTAACGCAGAAGCTATCTCCAGTGGATAACCTCTTTAAAAAAAATAGTTTTCTCACAGACGTCTCAATGGAGAAACAAATTACTCTTAAGGGTAGGCTGTATGCCCAGAAGTAGATGGCCAATAGGAAATGAACTCAACAGCGCCTTTGGAGGTTCCTTATCTCATAATGTCTTGTCAGGGTGTTTGTTTTTATTTATTTATTTTCCCTCTTTTTACCCTGTAGGTTTTTGGGTATATATTATGGCTTCCAATTTTGTGTTTTTATGGGAATCCTGAATGTGCAGATGAGTGGGTTTCTGTCTATCTGTTTCTTGTGCCTTTTATCTGACCCAGATGGGAGGGGAGGAACTGGAAGGAGTAGGAAGAAAGGAAACCATAATCAGGATACATGAGAAAAATCTGTTTTCAATAACAGTGTGAAAAAACCCTGAAGACTGCCATCTTATTACTGAGGAGATGGTAGTTTGATGTTTAGCCAACAGCACAAGTTCAAGGATGACGGATGGCAAATCTGATTCGCCAAGTCCCTGGTATTTCAACTCAGGTTCTTTCTCCTTTATACTTAAATTTCCCATTAAATTGCCTAAACCTTAGCTTATGGTTAAATGTTACATGTGATTGTCATCCATATGTCTTTCAGGATGTCTCTTCTACCTGGTGTTCAAAGGCGAAGACATAACTATGATGCTTGCCTATGGGTTAAGTATCAACAACATCTGGAATCTTCCACCTCCCTGTAGTTGATGGAGTTGCAGTTCTGTATAGCTGGCTTGGGCTCCGAAAGCTCCCAGAGGATGTATGAGGACATTGGGCTCCCGAAATATCCAGGACTGCCCCCTACATCCTTCCTGCCTTTCCTCCAGCTCCAGCCCGGGATGTTGGCACAGCTCGTAGTACAAGCAGCAAAGATGTAGGTGCATAGGAATATATGCATAAAAAACCCGGTCCCCCAGCTTAGCTTTGCATGTTGGAGGCAAATATTTGTTTAGCCTTACAAAGGAGGCAGTTGTGAGGTGTGTAGGTGCCCTGTGGCCTCCCCTGCTCTGCTTCAACATGGCTTGGGTCCAAAGAGATCAGTTATGGTCTGGCGGTAGACAGTCAGGAGTTATGCTGGATTCAAGGTCTCTTTATTTCAGGGCCAACTTAAAGAGTAGCTAATGAAGGAGACTATCTGGCCAATTTTCAGAAACACTTGATGAGTAACCCACATTTCCCTAGTCCTTTTGGGTAAAAAATAAATACTCCTTATACGCACTTGGGTGAATTCAGAGATGCCACAATCAAGGCTTTATCCCTTTGTTTAAAAGATAGATGTGTTAAACTACAAGTGAAATTAAAAGCATTCCCTCAAAAGAGCTAAGTTAACTGTGTGGTTGTTTATATCTAAACATGCAAGCCCTCTCCAGATCTTTTCTGGGAAGTTTTATTTAGAGAAAAATTTAAAGACCAAATGGGATCAAAGAGTTGACATTGTCTCTAGATAGGAGATATTTACATCTGCAGAAAAGGCAATCCCTGCTTGCTCAAGATGTCTCTGTTTGCTACTATGGGACCAAAGCAGGAGAGGAACATGAAAGCATGGTGGTCAGCAAGTCAAAGGCGCCATTGCCTTGGCTGAATTACGCGGTTCAGGGAGGGACCCTCATCTGGCCCATGCAGGAAGCCCAGCTTCAGAATCCAAGTAATGGACCTGTCTCTACGACCAAAATAAGCCAATGAGAAATGGATATACAAAGACCAGCTTCCTAGTTATTGAATAGCAAACAGTATTCACAATAAACAGGAGACAAGAGTTTTCTCAAAGCTCTTCCTATTCTGCAGCAAGATCCAGAAAGATTCAAGCTTATTCCTCAAAATGGTAGACTACTATCATCAGAACCCTTGTATTAATAAGGATTCTCTAGATAAACAGACATAATATACATATGCATGTCATACAGATGTATATATGCAATATATACATTATACATATGTAAATATATTTGTTCCTCTGTGTGTGTGTCGAGAGAGAGAGAGAGAGAGAGAGAGAGAGAAGAAAAGAATGAAGGAAGGAAGGAAGGAAGGAAGGAAGGAAGGAAGGAAGGAAAGAGAAAGGAAAGGAAAGGAAGAAAGAGGGAGAGAGAGAAAGATAGACAGTAAGAGATAGAAAGAGACAGATTGACTAATTTTGAGGATTTGGGCAGGCTTCTATAGAAGGCTAGAACTACTAGAAAACAAATGTGTGTGTGTGTGTGCGTGTGTGTGTGTGTTGTAAAAATGGTTTCATGAGTTAGAGAGATGGCTCAGTGCTTGCCATAAAGCATTAGGACCTGAGTTCAGGCCCCCAAACCCATGTAATAAAAAAAGCCCAAGTGTGGTGGTGCTTGTTTATAATCCCAGCAATGAGGAGACAAACAGGTGGATTCCTAGGGATCCTTAGTCACCCAGCTTAGCCAAAGCAATGAACCTTGGCCAGTACTATCTCAGATAAACAAGGTGGAAAGTGATTGTGGTAGACCCCAGAATTTGACCTCTGACTTCGTTATGCACATACACATATGTTTTATGTACTTACATACATGTGCATGGGCGCGCGCACACACAGACACACACACACACACACACAAATGGGGATTCACTAGGTTGATGTGAATTGGCACCTACACACTGAAAAGTCTGAGAACCTTGTAGTTGTTCGGTCCACAACGCATTCAACCATCTCACCCAGGTGCTGAGAAGATTGCTGGGAAGTCTCTGTTCTTCAGCCCTTATTAAAAGGCTGAGAAGCTGGGGTCTAATGTCAGCAGAGGACAGCAACAGCAGTAGCCACAAGGATAGGTATCCACCAGCAAGAACCAGAGTCAGGCAGGCAAGCAACATTGCTTCTTCAGACCTCTGGATATCTGACCTGCTCACTGGAGAGTGACGCCCACTATGGAGAAGAGTCTTCTCTCCCAGTCAATCCTTTCTGGAAATGACCTCATGGACCTGCCAAGAGGTGTTAGTTGATTACAGAGTTCATTCAGTTAACAGTGCTAATGACCACAGACCTAACATGATCAAGAAGGCTGTCGGTCTGATGGTCTTGGGACAAGCTAGCAGGCTGGGAAGCATGAATTGGTATTGTAGTTTTGAGTCCATTGGAATCTTCGGGCTGAACTGCTTGCTGGTTGGGGACCTCTTCCTTTTCCCTGAGGCTTAAAACTGATTAAATGAAGCTGCCCTACTTTCGTTTGTTCCCATGATAAAACAGGAGATAGAAGCTCCAGAGTCGAGTCAAGAGTAAAGACAAATGGATGCTCCCCTGCTGCAAGTAAGCTGCTATGCAGCCAGCCCATATCAATCCTTTATAGACCGGGGCCCCAAACCAAAGATATGATGCCTCCCACAATGGTCTGGGTCCTTCTACATCAATCAACAGTCAAAACAATCTCCCACAGACCTGTAGGCCAATCCGATCTAGGCAAGTTCCCATTTCTTTTTCCAGGTGATTCTAGGTCATGAAAAATGGAATTTCAAAATGAACCATCATGTAGGCTTGTAGGCTTACTACATTATGAAGATAACTTAGTTTCTTTTCTAATCTTATGGTAAAAACACTGTGACCACAGCAACTTACAAGCGGCCATTTATCTGGGCTTGTGATTACATGAGAGTTTATGGTGGCAGAGCAAATGTGTGATAGTCGATGGCTAGAGCAGCCGCTGAGAGTTCACACCATCTACAAGCAGGAAGAAGAGAACACACTAGGAAAAACACAAGTATTTTAGATCCTCAAAGCCCATCCCTAGTGACACACCTCCTTGAACAAGACCACACCTCCTAATCATTCCCAAACAGTACCACCAACTGGGGACCAAGTATTCTGCTCATGTCTTACGAGCCTATGGAAGCCATTCTTATTCATACCATCACAGAAGGATATTGTAATTTATCCAAAGGCTAATAATTTACATCAGTCACATTGAAAAAAAAAACCTTCATAAAAACATCTAGATTGGTGTGTGACTAAACAGCTCGGCACTATAGCTGGCCAATTTGACTCAAAATTCACATTTCTTAATCATTTCAACTAATTTTTTTAAAGAAAACTATCTTTTTCATTTTTTTCATTTCCCAGTTCCCACTTCCTCTTCTCCTCCCATACCCTTCACTTACCCCTCCACCGCACCCCCAATCCAGACTTCAGAGAGTATAAGGCTTTGGGGAAGATACATGGCCCTCCCTACTATATCTAGGCTAAGCAAGGTATCCATCCAAAGAGAATAGGTTCCTAAAAAGCCAATGCATGCAATAGGGATAAATTCTGGTGCTGCACCAGTGGCCCCTCAGTCTGCCCCAGTCATACAACTGTCACCCACATTCAGAGGGACTAGTTTGGACCTATGCTATTTCTTTCTCTGTCTAGCTGGAATTGGTGAGCTCAGGTAAACTGTTTCAGTGAGTGTACCCATTGTGGTCTTGACCTCGTTGCTCATATTCTCACTCTTCCCACTCTTCAACTGGACTTTGGGAACTCAGTCCAGTGGTCTGATGCAGGTCTCGGCCTCTGTTTCCATCAGTTGCTGGAAGAAGGTTCTATGGTAACATTTAAGATATTCATCAATCTGACTCCAGGGCAAGGCCAGTTCAGGTACTTGTGGATTCCTGGGAATTTCTCTAGTGCCAGGTTTATTGCTAGCCCTATAATGGCTCCCTCAATCAAGATATCTTTTTCCTTGCTCTCATCTCTGTCCTTCCTCCATCTCAACTATCCTGTTCCCTCAAGTTCTCCTCCCCCTTCCCTTTCTCTCCTCCTCTTTCCCTTCCACACTCTTTCCCCCTACCTCCATGCTCCCAATTTTGTCATGCAATCTTGTCTGTTTCGCTTTTACAGATGGATCTATGTATGTTTTTCTTAGGGTTCACCTTGTTACTTAGCTTCTCTAGGATCATGAACTATAGGCTCAATATCCTTTGGTTTACAATAGTATTCCCCTTATGAATGAGTACATACCATGTTCATCTTTCTGGGTTACCTCACTCAGGATGTCTTTTTCTAGTTCCATCCATTTGCATATAAATTTCAAGATGCCTTTTTTTTTTAACCACCGCTTAGTACTCTAATGTGTAATGTACCACATTTTCTTTATCCATTCTTTGGTTGAGGGGCATCTAGGTTGTTTCGAGGTTCTGGCTATTACAAATAATGCTGCTATGAACACAGTTGAACAAATGTCCTTGTTTTGTTAACATCTTTTGAATATATGCCCATGAGTGGTATTGCTGGGTCCTGAGGTAAATTGATTCCTAATTTTCTGAAAAACCACCATACTGATTTCCAGAGTGGTTGTACAGTTTGCATTTCCACTAGCAATGGAGGAGTGTTCCCCTTACTCCAGATACTCTCCACCATAGGTTATCATTGGTGTTTTAGAGCTTAGCTATTCTGACTGGTGTAAGATTATATCTGAGAGTCATTTTGATTTGCATTTCCCTGATGGCTAAGGATGTTGAACATTTCCTTAAGCATCGCTTGGCCATTTAAGATTGGGAATTCTCTATTTAGTTCTGTACCCCAATTTTAATTGTATTATTTGAAATTTTGATGTATAATTTTTTGAGTTCTTATTATGCTTTGGAGATCAGACCTCTGTTTGATGTACGGTTGGTGAAGATCTTTTCCCATTCAGCGGGCTTTTTTTTTTTTTTTTTTTTGTCTTATTGACTGTATCCTTTTCTTTACAGAAGCTTCTCAGCTTCAGGAGGTCCCATTTATTTATTGCTCTCAGTGTCTGTGCTGCTGGGACTTGGGAGATGGCTTAGCTGCACAAGCTCACACATCCTCAGGGTTGCAAATACATTCCCACCCCAGTCTGGCTGTTCCTTCTATGCTCCATCAATCCTAATACATTCCTATCTCTTGGTCTTGGCCACTGTCTCCTTGGCCAAAAAGCTTCTCATTCAATCATGTTTTTTTTTACATTTTCCAATGTATTTTTCTAATGTTAAAATGTATTTCCAAGCTGTTCATTTACCACTTAACATCATTTATATAATAGATGAAATTTATTTTTGGTCTGGCAACTATTATTCTCTTACTTCCATGAAAAAACAAATCTCACTCTTGTTCTTCTGTCTTTCAGAGGTAAGTCATGATGTGTGTCACATGCTGTGGTCTGAGATTCTCCATGTCTAAAACTGGACATAGAGAAAGAAATGTACTTTTTCTGTCACTTTCTCCACAAATACTATCATGTTTACCTGTAAAGTGGGACACTACAGAAACCTATAGGATCCCAGAACAAAATGATGGAAGAT